CAGCAGGGAGATGCATGCGTCGTCGCTGAACAGCGACGCAACGACCCCCGTTGTCGGTGTCAAAACCGGCGGATCTCGAGTAGGGGGTCCCGAACTGTGCGTCTGAGGTCGATGGTAACACGAGGCAAGGGACATGATGTTTTACCCAGGTTCGGGCCCTCTTGATGGAAGTAATACCCTACATCTTGCTTGATTGATATTGATGAGTATGAGGATTACAAGAGTTGATCTACCACAAGATCGTAATGGCTAAAACCCTAGAAGTCTAGCCTGTATGATTGTGATTGTGTTTATGGACTAAAACCCTCCGGTTTATATAGACATCGGAGGGGCCTAGGGTTGTACAAAGTCGGTTACAGGGAAAGGAATCTTCATCCGCACGCCAGGCTTGCCATCCACGCCAAGGAGAGTCCCATCCAGACACGGGAAATAATCTTCTATCTTGTATCTTCACGGCCCATCAGTCTGGTCCATGTCCAACAGGTCGGACGCCCGAGGACCCCTTAATCCAGGACTCCCTCGGTAGCCCCTGAACCAGGCTTCAATGACGAGGTGTCCGGCACGCAGATTATCTTCAGCATTGCAAGGCGGGTTCCTCCTCCGATCACTTCAAAGCATCCACAGAAAACGTGTCCGGCTCTGCAAAACAAATACCACACACAACCGCAGAGAGTATAATATTTCACAAGTCCAATTTGCTGACAACGTTTGTAGCGCGACATCACGTCCCTTCCCGGTCATTACTTCGAACTGTTGTTTCTTTAGCCTCTCGCTCCACGTTTCAAGATGCGGTTTTATTGGCATGTCTTGTCGAAGCAGAGATCATGTCCCCTTAATGTGGGATTCTCATCAATACAGGCGTGGGTAACCAACCATTCCGTTGGCATGATCCCTTGGGAATAGGCAAGCTTTAAGGATTATGAGGAGGCGTTTGATATTCATCGCCTTTATAAAGAGGCACAGACCCATCTTTCTCCTCTACGCCTACCTCTACTCCAACCTTTCCAACCTCGAGTCCCAGCACCCAGGTTTCAAATTAATTGCTCTAAGCCTCCCAGTCATGTCTGGACCCAGCCTTCAAGGCCGGTGGGTGGCCTCCACTGTCACAGAGGAGGATATCGCGGAGCTCCAGGTGGCAAGATACCTGACCGCGGAAATCCCCCATAGGCTCCCTGCTAAAGGACAGGTTATTTCTACTCCCAGATCTGGCAAGAGGGTCGTATTCATCTCCCACTTCCTCCGGGGGATAGGGTTCACTCTCCATCCCTTTGTTCACAGACTCATGTTCTATTACGGTCTATATTTTCACGATCTAGCTCCGGACTCCTTTCTTCACATCTCGGCGTTCATTGTCATGTGCGAGGCCTTTCTTTGCATTCCCCCACACTTCATCTTATGGCTCAAGACCTTTAATGTGAAGCCGAAGGTAATCGAGGGGAAGCAAGTAGAGTGTGGTGGTGCTACGGTGAACAAGCTCACCAATACTCTTTGGCCAAAAGGCTCTTTCACGGAAACTTCCAACCTATGGCAGTGGGAGTGGTTTTACATCACTGAACCCCGTGGTACCTAGTGGCAGCTACACCTGCGTTCCGATCTGGCCCTCCATTACGGCTTGCATCATGTATTAATAAGGGACTGGACTGGGGATCAATTGACGACGTGCAGACGCTACAAAGCCGCATCCGGAGCCTCCTCGAAAAGGACACCGGCCTCATCAATGTAATCCAGGTCCTGTCGTGCCAGTGACGGCCTCTCCGCATGTGGGAGTTCCATTCGAAAGGACCACGGACCCTTCAGTACTTCTTTGGCATGATGCACAGAGGAATGTGGAAGTTATTCTTCGGGACACGGAAACAGTGGCCGGATACCACCGAAGACATCGGCCTCGACTGCAACCATCCGGATACCTCGGTAAGCACTCAACTCCCAAACACAGCTAAGTTAAATATCCCATAATACTGAGAAAACAATCTTCGAACAGGGCTGGATAAAGAAGGAGGAACGATTTCGGTGTTTGGCCCCTCTTCCCGAGAACTCAGCTAATCCTGTATTAACAAGGATGCTGGCTCTGGCGCCGTATCAAGTGCCGGCAAAGGAGGACAAGGAGGAGAGCAAGAAGGCCAAAGGTGTCCTCCATTCTAAATGTACACCAGACACTCTGTCCAGGGAGATTGGAACTCCCTCTTCCGAAGACAAAAGAGAAGGAGAAGCTGACATCCCTTCCCCCCATGGGAAGAAGAGGACTGCCTCTGAAGATTTGGAGGTAAAGGCTCCTAAGCGAGGGAAGATGTCCTTGTTAGGCAGTTCGAGTCTGGAAGACGATGTTGTCGCGCAATTCCTCCGTAATGACAAGCCCTTAGCCGAATCGTAAGTGAACAAGGGTGTCCTAAACATATCCTGTTCCTTTCCACTTACAAGGGTAACATCTAAATATATGTTTGCAGTCCGGCACGCGGTCTTCCTCAATAGTCCTCCTCCTCGGGGGTTCTTCTTCCGGAGATGATGGAAAGCGAGACGCCTCCATAGACCTTCTCACCCAATAGGGCAGACGACTTTGAGGTGTCTTCCCGGAGGATTTCTCCTGATCAACAAGTGGTGCAAGGGACAATGAGGACCACTCCCGAAGGTGATACTTCGGTAGTCCAGGGTCCGGGGCGTGCGGCCCCTTCTGGGACTAACAATAAAGGCCCCAGACTATCTGGTTTACAGACAGAGACGACTCTAGTGTCGAGTAAACATATCTCTTCGAAGGGAGTCCGCACTCCCACCGCCGCTTCTAGGAATCGGGTGGCACCAGATACATTGATGGACATGTTGCGACATGCGTCCATCTCAGAGGAACATCGTACCTTAATGGGTACGATAGTTGAGAGGATTTTGTCTGCGAGAAGCAGATTGAATGAAGCCTTCACGGGCCTGCTAAGAGGCTTCGAGGTATGCAATGTAATATTTTCAATTGCACTCTACGTGCAAAAATGCACCTGTGTATAGGTAGTAGACCCTGAGACTCTGATGGGCATCCAAAAGGAGGCGATCAGAGGATCAAAAAAAGATATGCCCAGGAAATAATCTAATTAACTGGAACACAGGTTGTCTCATCCATGGCGACTGCCCATGCTACAGAGGTTGCAGGTCTGAAGCAGAAACTTGATGTGGCGGATGACGACATCACACTTATTAACAGGCGGCTCGACGAGGTGCAAGGTATGTTGTGGGGCAGTCAGTATATATGTGTATAATAATATGAGCATGAAGCTGAGATTTATATACTAAGATATGCATAACTGCAGATAGTGCTGCCGCGGTTGAGACCCTTCATGTTGAGCTCGTCCGGGCCAACGAGCAAGCCAGGATGAGTAATGCTATTAATCTTCTCAGGGTCATTTGGGAGAAAAATGCCTTTCACAAATCAGATGCCTATGCATAACCCAATGTTAATGGTATAAAAAGTCTACCCATATAACTTTCTCTCTTTTTCAAACTACAATGATGCTAAGCTTTGCTATTAATCTTCTCAGGGTCATTTGGGAGAAAGTATTATACCAGAATCAGCAAGATCCGTTGGTGGCTCGGAGAAAGCAAAAACGAAGAAGAAAAAGAAGACAGCCAATTCTTTACAAGTACGACCTGAAATGCCTTCCGCAAACCAAATGCCTGGGTATCTACCATAGTACAACCCAACCCAAATGGTAAAAGAAGTCTTATTTTTAACTTTTTCTCATTTTCAATCCTCTGGGACCTAAGCTTTGCTATTTACCTGCATAGGGTCATATGGGAGCTCCGGCCAATCTTGTACACCCCTATTTAGCAAATTACAACTCAAGTCTGCGACAATCCATTGGTACCTCTACCCCTGCGATGTTGTCAGGGCAAAATCTATCATTCTCCCAACAATAGACTCCTACAAGTGGTACCTCTACCCCTATGATGATGCCAGGACAGAATATATCATTCTTGCAACAACAGACTCCTACGAGTGATACCTCTACCCCTGTGATGATGCCAGGAAAAAACCTATCGTTCCCCCAACAACAGACTCCTACATGTGGTACCTCTACCCCTATGATGATGCCAAAACAAAATCTATCATTCTTCCAACAACAGACTCCTACGAGTGGTACTTCTACCCCTGTGATGATGCCAGGACAGAATCTACTATTTTTCCATCAACAGAAGCCGGCTTAATCGATGTTACAGATTTTTATCTCATGTATTTGCTTGCAATTCTATTAGAACCTATGAGTATACGACCATGCTTGCAATTCTTACTTGTTCACGTGACTGTCGATGGAATCAACAATTTTTTTCTACCTTTCATGCACTGTAAATATTGTGAACTCATTCACCGGTGTACTCCATCTAAAGACATGTCGCAAAACAATGATCACACCCAAGTTCTGTGAATAGTATTGTGATTTCTAGCATGTCTACTGCTAAACAAGCAATATGAACTATGTTGTTGTAAGAATACTTTGCATCAGGTACAAACTGTAGTACGACCAAGATCCAACAGCATAGATTTTATATCTAACCTCACAAGCAGAACAGTAGTTGATCACTGTGACAATGTCGGCGTTGACACTGTTGACCCACGTCTTCTGGCCTCATGCTGTCTGTAAATATCACCAACATCAGCTAATTAAAATTCAGTTCATCCAACCAGACAAAACATGATCAACATTTTGTGCTAAACACTCCCATCAGAGAGGGTCACTCACCGAGCATGGTGAGGAGCAAGGCGACCTCGGCGGGCATGAGCAGAGTTCTCACCAATACTTAATGAAGGAAATGCTTATAGTAGCAGCATACACCTACTCAAATAGTATCATACAAATGAATGAGTTGCAGTTGATACACATCTAGACTAAAACGTGAGACTAGCATTAGTACATACCAAACAGTTTCATTAGTAGTACGTCTCAAAAAACTACGGTCAGCTCAAGGCCTGTGAGATCTGTCGTCTTTCAGCTGTAGAATAGTTGACCGCCTCAATTTTGTGATCAGCAGCACGGCGTCTGCGTCCGCCTCTGCTGCTGCTTAGCTTCTACTGCGGCTATACTAGCAGGGAACACGCGCGAAGGCGCTGCCAGGAAGCCAAGTCGCCGCCGGCGACAGCCGCCACGGTGGCCACGATCTAGGCGTCGGCGGCCGCCGTGACCGTTGCCTCGTCGGTGATGTAGGCGGCGTCGCCTCAATTTGGTCTGAGAACAAATCCAATCAGCAGACAACAAATTAGAAGAACGAAGAAACAAACTGGATCGAACAGGGAGGGGTCAAGGTCAGCAAGCAGGAGGAGCAAAACCAGGAGGCGGAGGTGGTCTTGAGATTGGAGAGGGCCGGCATCTATGACGGGGGTGGCGCCACACCTGCTCCAGGCCATGGCCTAGGCCTGATCTGATTCAATCTTGAGCTTGTGCAATAGCTGCATGCTTGGCTGCGGTGGCAAAGTGAGCGGCGGGAAGGGACGGGGAAGTGCGGCGATGGGAGCAGAGGGCGGTCGCTGGATTCACTCGATGCCTTCGCTCCCCGCGGACCACGGTCGGCTGTCGGAAGTGAGAGCAAAAGGGGACGAAGCGGAATACATACGGAGAAGGGGGACGGAATACAGGAGCTCCGCGAATTGTTTTCTCAGAAAAAATAGACGGCAGGGAAAGAAAAGGGCCCAGTCGTTCGATGTGAGTTTAACGTTTCGGAAGCACTGATGGGAGCACGGGACGGGAGCAAGCAAGCCCCGTCCTTTGTGGTGGAGGTGGACGTGGCCTTCCAAAGCAAATATTAACTTCTATGATGTACTCTTTCCTTCTTGCATTATATGATTGCATACAATCTGGTAGCCATGGCTTGTCAAAGTAGCAACCAGGTAAATCCTGGTGCGCCTGCCTGTGCTCCATAGGGGCGACGGCCATGAGGTATTTTCCATCGTAGAACTGAAAGTAATATAGCACGTAAATATTTTGGACCTCTGACTGAACAATGTCGATAACTGATATAGCTGATATTTGGGTCATATCATCCTCCTCCTCTTCAAGTGAAACCGTCCTCGGTTTCAAGTCAGTCTCGCCAGCAACATCTTTGTCAGCACATTGAATGTATGCCAGAAAAAATTAGCAACGTCAGACTCCTTTTCATTTGCTTCCTCTGGCTTGTTCATTTTTTGCAGTCGTTCTTTCCTTTGGATCTTGAACGCCTTCTTCTCCAAAGCCACAAGAACATATTTTGTACCTCATAGGACTGTGTATGTATTAGCGAGATAGTCATGTGTAGTATAGTTTTTCTTGTACCATGGCCGTCCCAACAATATATGACACGAAACCATCGACACCGGAACTACGTCGCACAAAACCTCACAAGAAAATTTCCGACTGAAAACAGTACCATAGTTTGGTGCGTGATGTCGAGCTTGTCGTTGCACCACTTCAGCATGTATGGTCGTGGATGTGGTGTCATGGATAGCTCCAACTTCTCTACCATGTTGATGCCCACCGCGTTGACCGAGCTGTCATGCTCAATCGTCATGGCGCAAATTTTCTCTCCCACTTTACAGTAGGTGTAAAAAAGTTCAACACCATAACCTTTCTCCTCCAACAAAAAATTGCCGGAGAGCCTCCAGTAGCTCCTTGGTGACGGCGAGCCGACCGTCTCCTCCGAAGTGCCGTGAGAAACGCCGGTCTCTGATACCACTTGATGTAAAGCGAACCTCGAGACGAGGGTCGGTCCGTTGTTGGCCCGATCTTTCATGACACGAAAATCCATCGCAGCAAGAACTCGTTACGGGTTTATGAAGGAATTCACAAACTCCGACAAAAACGACACATCAACCCCTCGATCTGAAGAAATAACGTGGACAAACTGTAGAGCCTCATCTTGTAATCTCTTACGCATCATGTCGCGGGAACTCACACGCCAGTACAGATTTTTGACAAGGTTTCTCTAAACTCGAATAATGGTCGACAGCCAGAACACACGATGTCTAATTCATATTAACATAACCTAACCATTACATAGACGCCACATGATCTGACTTTATATATAGCTAAGTCCTCCTAATTTTGCGTGACCAACATACTAAGTCCTCCTAATTTTGCGTGACCAACATACTGGCCGCACCACACCTATCTATCTAACTTCTTTAATCTAATTCAAAAGGAAACGATCTGGACATGTCAAACATAATAACTGACTTAACTTAATTTAAGTAAGAATATGACTCTTTTATTTGTGCACCATGTAATTTAGTTTGCTCAGCTTGGTGGCCCCCATCTAGACTCCTTTAAACATAGCAGGTCCCACATGTTGCACCTCCTATTTGCACTTGCCGACTAGCCATAGTAAGTAGTAACAGAGTGGTAACATGCATATGCTATTAGTCTATATTACTACCTTCATAGTGGGTAGTAACATAGAGGTAGTAACTTGAGGTTTTCATTTATTGTTTTGTGAGATCTATACTAGTACTTCAACTTCGTGATCTATATGTGACATGTATCAATATGAAATTTTGTTTGCCAGTACCCATATATAAATACAAGAACACAAATTCGAACGGACCCATAATAAATAATAAGTGCCAATATAATATAATTAAAATATATAAAACATGTTTAGCAATACATGGATCAAGTCTCGAATATAATCTATCGTCGCCCAAACTTTTTCCATATATGCTCAATCAAATCATTTTTTAGAGCCTTATGCATCGGACGATCATGAATTCTAGCATCTCTTTGAAGTACCTCACAAATATTGGCATGTCACCATGAGTAAATACTGATGGGAAAACATTGATGAGCCTGCTTCCTCATTCAAATCAAGCATATTCCCCGCCTCTTCTTTTTCATCCTCAACTATCATGTTGTGTAGAATGATGCAGGCTAACATAATATGATGGAGATCGCCCCGGTCATATAAACGTGTCGGGCGCCGTAAAATAGACCATAGTGCCTGGAGCACACCAAATGCACGTTCCACATCCTTCCTTGCACCTTCTTGATGTTTAGCAAACAACCTCTGTTTTTCTGTTTGAGTCATCGGTATCGACTTCACGAATGCTGCCCACTCTGGGTATATTCCATCTACAAGGTAATAACCAAGTTGATATTCCTTCTCGTTGACATTATAGTTCACTCGAGGAGCTTGCCCTTTCAGTTGCTCAAGGAACAACGTCGACTGATTAAGCACGTTGATGCCGTTGTTGGATCCAGGAACACCAAAAAATGCATGCCATATCCAAAGATCCTGAGAAGCAACATCCTCTAGAATAAGAGTAGGGATGCCCTTATACCCACTGGTGAATTTTCCCTTCCACTCCATGGGACATTTGTCACAACGCCAGTGCATACAGTCGAGGCTTCCTAACATGCCAGGAAAGGGCCTTCTCATCCGAAATCTTCTACGAAATACCTTCTTCTTGTAGATAGGATTATCACAGAAATAGTCACGTACCAATTGCTCAGCAGCTTCTTCACGTGGCCTGTTCACGTAAATCCTCGGACCACTTCTGCTTGATCTTCCTTGAGCATCAAGGCTTTCCTTCACTACTATGGCGATTTCCTTGGCGAATGAGTCTAACATGTCCATCTGGACAAGGGAGTGATCTAGTGTGTAGAGGGAGGAAGGATCGATGATACTTGCTTCAGCTTTATCATCGGAACCATCAGCCGGTTGATTGGTATCCATATTTTGGTGCCCTTGTACAGGATGCTGCACTTGCGAAGGTTGAAAATTATAATTATGCATTGGAGGGAATTTTCCAAAACTTAGCAAGTCGTCAGGTGCAGGGGTGTACATTGGCCTCCTGTTACAAATATCAGAAGTCATGAGCATAGTACAGTAGCAATGAAATTTTGTACAACACCTCATCTCTCTAACAGAAGTATTATAAATATTAAATTATCAAGCGCACTAGACAAATTCATGAGGTATGCAATTGGATTTGGTCAGAAACAGACTTAAACAAGATATTTTTTTAGGCTACTGTAAGAGATAGACTTAACACGGAACACATCTATTTTGGTGACCTGGAGTATTTGGACTGTTCGAAATGATTGTATTTGGTCAGGTACATAACTTATTCCTCTTTGTATCAAAGTCTAACTTGTAAATACTTATCTTAATAAAACTGCATTAGGATAATCCTACTGTTTCTACTATATATGAAGCATAATCAATCCTTTGTTCAAAAAGCATGTCCTAACTAGTGTCTCGATTTGATATATATCACCTGTTCAATGAAGAAAGCAAAAGCAAAAGGATGTCAACTGAAGCTCACGGTTTTGGTAATTCAGGCCACACCCACACATGCTGAATCAGACTTAGAAATTCAAACTTAGATGTGAGTAAAGACTTGGCAGTACAGAAATTCCCTGAAGACCTACACACACTCAATCAAGTATTTGAGCTAAAGGAATTGCAATTGGCGAAGATTGAATTAAAAGCAGAAATTTATACTCCCTCCGTTGCTAAATATTTGTCTTTCTAGAGATTTCAACAAGTAACTACATACGAAGCAAAATGAGTGAATCTACACTCTAAAATATGTATATATACATCCGTATGTGGTAGTCCATTTGAAATCTCTAAAAGACAAATATTTAGGAACGGAGGGAGTACCATGTAGGGTTTGCAGTAGATGATTCCATGAGAGGGACGTACATGTACGGTGGTGTGGAGGGGCTGGCGGACGAGCTCGTCGGAGCACCGGGGTAGAAGAGTTGTTGTGGCCAGCAGTTGGCGCACGAGCTTGCCGGGGCGCCAGGGATGTGCTGCTGCGGCGGCGAGGTCGCCGATGACCGGACTGGTGCCGCCTCCTTACGGGCACCAAACTTGGCCATGATTCAAGTGGCCTCGCGTCGCCGGCCAGAGCTGCCGCTGGGCGGCGAGACGGAGAGCGGGGCGAGGGAGATGGAGGCGGCAGGGAGGGAGAGGATGGAGGCGGCAGGGAGGGAGAGGATGGAGCGGTGGGGAATTTTCCTTGAGAAAATTCCTTATTTGACACTATCTTGAAATGTGGTTCCTTATTTGACCTGAAGAAATTTTTTTCTATTTGACATATAGTCTAAATTTCTTTCCTTACGTGATATTGCAGTCGGTTTCGTTAGACTATTCCATCAAATAAAAAATGGATGGACCAAAATACCCCTATGATAGTCCCTAGCCCATATCGAACAAAAAAAATATTCCGATCCCGATCTAGCCGTCCCTCTAGTCTCTGTTGTTTGAGAAAGCTAAGTCCAGTTACAATTTTTTTCAGTGCAAGTTACACGTATATTTAGAGTTATTCCTACATGCATGCACAGACTTGATTGCCCGGTTACTTCACGTACCATGCATGCATACATGCTCGCACACAAGTATACTGGCCGATTACGTACATGCATCGGTCTACGTATTTGATCATGTAGCTAGCTAACCTTGCAGATGTAGAGGTCCGGAGCAGTTCCCGTTGACGTCTCATCGACTCATACATATATCTAAACGTCCGCGCCTCAGTTCCAAATACCCGTATACCGGCGCCCTGGCCGGCGGTATTATACTTCACCGAATACTCAAATACTTGACTAATGCATGCATGCACCAGTGTAGTCTGGGCTGGCTGTAGTGTGTTAAATATGGTTGAGTTCTGCTATGTACATGCACGTATACAAATACCCGCTACGGAGCTTGTAGACGGGATTTCATTTCTCTATATTTCTGGGCTGGCCATGAAAGCTATGAGAAGTAACATACATAGCCTTTGGATTTATATAATTTCCATTTTATCTTTGTTTATGCACTTTCTCTGATAATCTCTTATGTACTTCTTGGCAATGTTTCCTTCGACCTCGTTAATTATGTTAAATGGGAAATGTTTTTCTTGGGAACTTGGTAGTACGTATTTACATTGTAATATCCTGCTCAATCCCATGTAGATCCATAAGCATGCTATTTTTTTATGCTCCAATCATATAACTTCACAAAGTTTTCTGATAAGACAATGGGAGTCATTAGATTTAATAATCACATTCTCCCTACTTCAAACCATAAGAAATCATAAGTGTGTCTACACAGACTATTATATGTTACAGTATTCAAATGTAAAGAAAAGATGTAGTAATATTCAAATATATATTTATATAAATCTCCTGATATTCAATTTTTTTGAAAAGTTTACAAAGTTTTGAAAACTATTTCATATTCTTAACATCCACGTGTTCCTCAAAATAGCTAGCCCGTGCATGTGCACGGGTTGATGACTAGTGTAACATAACTGTAGATATTGTCATGTATAGATGTTTGGTCACCTTATGCACAAGGGATAAAAGGGTCTTTTCATGTCTGTCTTTAACATCGTTAGTGAACAAAATGCATTAGAGTGTCATATTGGGAAAGAAATTTAGAACAGATGTCAAACAGGGAAGAAAAATTTCTTCAGGGCCAACCATATTTTAAGATAGTGTCAAATAAGGAATTCTCTCATTTTCCTTCGTGAGAGGGACGCCGCAGTGGATCGATTTGCATTAAAAAATTGTGGGACCAAGCGCGAAGTTACGGTAACCAGTTATGTTACTGCTATACTCTCTCTTCTCATTAAATCATTGCCACGTATGCAAATCAGCGGAGTTGGACTCTATGTTATTGCTGAAGTTATTACCCACTATAGCTGGTCTGATATTTCTTGAGCGGCAAGAATAAAAACAGCAGGCTAAGCTTGACCCTGACTCTGTCCTTTTTAAATGGATCTAATCTCTTCGTACAGTTCGAGACACCAATATCCTTTACGTGTGCACATATATACCCAAAGAATCCAACATCCATGTGCATGGTCACGCTTGTTGCATGCATACGTACAACATCAAGTAGTACTTGTGGTGGACGTGGCCTTCCAAAACAAATATTAGCTTCTACTCCCTCCGTTTCTAAATATTTGTCTTTCTAGACATTTCAAATGACTACTACATACGGATGTATGTAGACATATTTTAGAGTGTAGGTTCACTCATTTTGCTCCGTATGTAGTCACTTGTTGAAATGCCTAGAAAGACAAGTATTTAGGAACGGAGGGAGTATGGTGTACTCTTTCCTTCTTGCATTATATGATTGCATACAATTTGACAGCGGTTGCGGCAAGAGCTCGTCGACGCGCATGCGGCGAGGTGGAGGGAAGAGGGTCGAGAGAGGTCGTAGATTGGGTGCTAGTTGGGTCAGGCTGTATAGCTAATTTGGGCCATGGATCGGTAACGTTTGTTCTACGAAAAAGCATAGATAATTAAAGTATATATATACCTCACAAAAACAATTAAAGTATATATATGTATTAAATGGTTCATACAACTAAATATTTTTTATACTTATTAGATATATTTAGAGTATCACAAAAAAATAGAGAAGAAACCAAATATACTTGGTTTATGTTGGTTTGTTTGCATGTTTTTATTTTCTGTTGGACAATTTTCCATAGCCTATATAAATGATTTAAGAAATTTTAGATGACTGCTTATTTATATATGAACATTATAGTTGGTTGTTTTCCCTGAGAGAAATGCAACATCTTTTTTTAATAATATGAAAAAGGGTTTTCTTTCTTACAAAATAAAACAATTGTGTTAGTTTCACTTTTATTTTTATTATATATGTTTATATGATGCAGTATAAAATACCGTTTATATTTCATCAAAGATAGAAAGTGATGGGTTTCAACATATGCATTGATGTAACGATGACAGACCGGACTAAAACACCACGAGAAGAGGTGCATATAGCTAACCATTCTTTGTATGTATGTTATAGATGATAATACAAATGGTGTACTTTTATATATTCTTTTTAGAATATAGGAGACGTAGATATGGATTTTGGAGATGCACAAAAAGAATCCATCGACAAGGGTCCGAAGCGACGTCGCTGAAAGGGGCCGAAAATTCACCGAGTTTTTTACAGCATAATGATGTGGAAGCAGTGATATCTCATAACAAACCAAAAAAGGATGCCAATCTAAATGTTATCTGCCAGGACCGGATTTTCGGGATATTAATTTCCCAAAAGCGGCCCTTGTGCTCACCAGCCCCAGGATTACTGTTAGCTGATGAGACACCAACTTGTTACAAAAACTCCAAGCCAAATACAAAATATGAAGTACAAGACCATTTTGGCCTATGGGTACAACAATTGGTTTCTAGTGGTTGATGGCGGAAGCGGATTGCGGATCATCAGCGTCTATGGGACTCCATTTCCCACAGGAACAGCTGACCAGGATAACTCCTATCTTCGCGAGGCTGCTATCACCATTACGTAGGTTCCGGGGCTGTCATCACAACGCTCCTTTTCACGCAAGAAATCTGGCCAAGACAATAGCCAGGGACAAGCCAGTGAGTACTTTGAATGTACTCACAAACATTAAGAACATAGGTATAATATAGCCATTGATAATCATGTTTTGAAATATTCCATGATCACTTCGTCAGTTATGAAATAAGGTTTATGATGCACGCAAGCAGATCATTCAAATAAAATATGAGTAAACAATCAGGGAGTAGAAATGAAAAGCACCGATCGGGTGTCTGAAGCGACGCCTCGAAAGGATAATAATATGAAGCGTGCCTCAGTCGGGTGTCTGTGTGACACCACATAAAGGGCTTATAAGTAAATGAAATAACAAGCATGCCACAGTCGGGCGTCTGTGCGACACCACATAAAGGGCTTATAAGTAAATGAAATGACAAGCATGCCACAGTCGGGCGTCTGAGCGACACCACATAAAGGGCATATAAGTAAATGAAATAACAAGCATGCCACAGTCGGGCGTCTGTGCGATACCATATAAAGGGCTTATAAGTAAATGAAATGACAAGCATGCCACAGTCGGGCGTCTGAGCGACACCACATAAAGGGCTTATATAAGAATAATCATGGTGAATATCCAGGAGGTAGAACCGTCCCAGGGATACTCAATAATTCAAATAACATAAATGGTTAGTCCATAATAATAATAATCATAATCATCATACGTCACCGGTCATAATCAATGTTCTCATTTAGTAGTTTTCCTCCGAAGACCGACACTAAGACCGACACTTGACCCATCCCAGATTGTAGTCCTTAACCATGGACACGGCTATTCGAATAGGTATTATATCTCTGCAGAGAGTGTACTCTATACCCACGAGTAACGGATCTCTTTAGTCCATCGGAACTAATTCCGTCTACGGTCTTTTAATTGAAAACCCACCTAACCGCACACACCAGCCAAACTCACCGGTGTCTGGAATCACCCTTGACACCTGTTAAGCAAAACTCTAAGTGGGAAGGCTACAACCTCGACTTAGCATGGGATCACAAAATTTATACCGCGCGCAAACTGGGGGGAGCTACCCCCTTCGGCTACAACCAAAAACACCCATGCCCCCGGACCAGGTGGCATGCCTACCGGATGCAGCCGGTATCTTCCACCATGGCCTCTCTGTACGGTGTGTGCTAGGACAGGGGTTGACAACTTACGGAACCGTACCCTACCTACGGCAGGGACAAGTGGCAGCACGAAACAAGTATGGGGGTTGCTGGAACAAGACTCGATCTACGGCCGACTCAGGAGGCTTAAGTATTTCCTGCATGATTAGCTCAAGGATAATATTTCACATCCATCAGACACAATCACCACTCATCATACCTCCCCCTGCCCCACCGGTCATAACCGTCTCGACGAGGGACAAGCTCGTGTCTACTCAAGACAGATACTTTCCTGGATCCTTCCCGGTAGGCATGAGAGGCATATGAGGGTGATTGCTATCACAAGTATGTCCATTTCCAACAGCAAAAATTTCCATTTTTG